ATCTCAAGGAATTCCCTCTGAAATCAGCTTTGAATGAACCAGTAACTCGAGCTACCGACATTGACTATCCCAAGGGGTACGACAAAATTGGATCATTCAAAATTGTGGGTTCTTGCAATGGCTTGGTTTGCGTTACTTTTCCTAAAAAAAGATCAAAAAATGGTGAGTTAGGAGTTCTTCTCTGGAATCCATCCATGAAAAAGTACAGAAAATTGCCCAAGTTTGACACTAAGTTGAACAGTACTATTTGGCACAGTTGGTTTGTGGCATGTGGATACGGCTACGATGAGTCTAATGATGATTACAAAGTAGTTGCAATGTTAAGTGTCCGCTATCGGCAACCAGAAGGAGTGACTATGAAAGAAGATACTGTGACTAAGATGTACAGTCGCAAGACTCACACTTGGAAGGAAATTGAGAATTTGAAGGATGGGATTCCGATTAACGAGCTGGGTTATTTTGCTAGCGGGAGGCTCCATTGGTTGACGAGTACTACTATGCCTAGACGGTTTCATACCAAGCACAACATTCATAGCTATGCCTTAGTCAGTGAGACTGAAGGAGACTTGAAAATTGTAAGTATTGATTTGGAAAGTAAGATGTTTGGAGTGGTGGAGTATCCAGAACATGAAAAGAGCAATAGCTACTGTGCATTAGGGATCGCTGGAGGACGTCTCTGCCTTGTTCGCACCTATGAAAGTCGTGTGATGGATATTTCGGTTATGAAGGAGTATGGAGTGAGAGAATCTTGGACTAAAGTTGCTTCTGTTAATTATCCTGAGCATATTGTTGCCAAATTATATCGTCAACCTTTTTGCTGGCAGAACAACGGTGGACATATGCTTAAGCTTGAGAAATTCTTGGTACTTTATGACTCAGAAGATGATTCAATTAGGTTTCCAATCATTGGAAATTTTGGACTTGTTCGATGGGTCGATACTTATGTTGAAAGCTTGGTTTTACCTTGAGCCTTTCACCCTGTTCAGGCTGTTGAAACCTCGTGCCTTTCAGCCTGTTGAAAGGCAAAGGAAGGCAAAGGAACAGAAAACGAAAGAGGAGGACCAGACTATTATCTTCTACTTATTAGTGGTAATTTCTGTCCTTCCTTCAGCAATTAAGTTGACTACTAAGGATTTATGGCTTAATTTTGTTTCCTGATGGAAGACCACAAGAAAATTATGTTCAATAATATATTTTCTGATTATTAATTTCGTGAATGACAAAATGAATATGTATAGAAGAGCCACCTCTTGACTGATTGATGGCTCTGATATTTGTGACTTTCTTTGGCTCTAGGTGTTGCTTGAAAATTTTCTTTGGTCATGAACTAGGCAGCAAGCTCATGAGCTTGTTTTTATTTCACTAGAGATGTGTAGGTCTTATCATGCATGTTGGGACATTGTACTGCACAAATTTCACAAGCACTGCAAAAGAACTAGTGCTACGAGAATACAAAACAACCTGACATTACTGAAACATTCTTTCACTCTGTTTGCGAAGCAGGATTGCAGAAGGCAAAAGGGATTAAAATTGGCGCTCTTGGCCAACAGTTATACTTGATTTCAGTGTCCACAGCAAAGTTTTGATGAATTTTTTTTTGGGAAGTTTGTGAAAGTTTGTTGGAACATTTCCAAGGGTTTGTATCACTAGCTGCTATTTTTGCTGATGCTTGAATAATGAGCAGTGACATAGTAAAAGGTCATGCTCATATCTGTCCCGCAAGAGCTATACGTTTCTGTTAAGCAGTTACTGGTCTTAGCTAGAATAAATTCTGAAACTTTATTATGCAGGCGTGATCTGTTTTAGATTTTGCAATCTTATGATCCTGAGAGGGTTTTATCAAAAATTTTACATTTAACAACAAAAAATGGTCTAACTTTTCATTAGTCTTATTCGCATGTTCAGCCTACTTTTTTTGTTTGAAAGACTCGATAACGAAAAATATTCTGCCTTTTGATTGGATTATTGTTGCTTATTTACTGCACTTTTGGGTTTTTTTAATTTTTTTCGTTGGGCTGTGGGGAGGAGAATATGGAGGTGTGTAGTTTGAGGTCTGTATCAAGTCAAAACCTACAGAACCAGTTATACACAGAATTTACCACTAAAATGCTATATTCATCAAACAAAATGAGAGAATGAAACCTTCTTGGAAGGATGTCAAAAAATAAAAACAATAACAAAGACTATCAAACATCTAATCTGTTGCAGATATTACACCTAAACGATTAATTTCTGCAGGCTTTTACATTATTGGCAAGAAGTTGATCCAAAGTGATGTTTTGAAGGATATATTTGCTTGATTTATTCTTTTTTAAACACAAACTAAAGCAAATAAAAGCATCATGGAATAGCTTACCCTTTTTTTTTTTGTTATTAGAATAAATTGTTGGGGAGGACATTGGAGGAAACACAAAAGTAAAGAAGCCCTAATCTTTTTGTTGGATATTAGGCCAAGAATTGAAAGGAATATTTGGAGACAAGGGTAGCTTCAATTGTTTCTTTTTTTTACTTCTTTCACTCTCTCTTATTATAGTGGTTTGGAGTTTACAAGGTCTTTTTATACTTGTAAATAATTATTCTAGATACATAGGGAAGTGTTCCAACCACACCAACAACTCTCTTAATTTCCATCATTCTAGAGAACATTCCAATTATCTAGAGAGCATTCCAACATTCTAGATACATAGAGAACATTCCAACTAGCTCATTAATCAAGCTAATTGATTCAGCACATTATTCAACACTTTTTCAAGCTAAAAAGGTGGTGGAGAACTTTAGTTGTACACGGACTGTTATTACTGTTATTACTATCTGATGCATGTCTCTTAGTATTATATACCCACACAAATTCTGATTTCTGATGCATATACCATGAAAGAGTTCAAATAAAATAGGTATCCCCTGAAGGATAAGAAATTCTACTTAACCCAAGATCTTATCTTCTTGGTTACATTAAACATTTATCTGCTCTTCCTCACAGCAGTACCAAATCACATATGACTTTAGCACCATGGGACAAATACCAAGCAGAAAACGTCAGAAAACCACCTATAAAGATCATCTGCAGAGCACCTTTTCCTCTAATTCAGACAATCATCTTCTCATGATTTCTACTTTTAACCAAGTCTCGGACAAGTTATCAAATATTTCAACCAACATGCTTGGTGATCATCTACTTACTCCAAACCGAGACTACCTGCCTGATGATCTCTTGATTGAAATCCTCTCGAGCCTTCCAGTTAAAACCCTGTTGAGGTTGAAGTGTGTGTCGAAATGTTGGCTAGTGTTAATCTCAATTCCTAATTTCATCAACGCCCATGTTAGGAAAAATATTGAGAACTTGCACCATAATGTTATAGGTCAAGATAATTAGCCCAACTATGATTCTGTTCTCATAGAGATTCCTCTCCAATCAGTGTTCAATCCACCAGTTACACGAGCTACCAGAGTTGACTACCCAAGGAGATACGACAGATATTATATTTGTTGCAAAAGCATAAATGTTACTATAATTGACAACAATTTAATAACATTATTCAAACAGTCTTTTCCTCTGTTTATGAAGCAGGATTGCAGAAGGCAAAAGGGATTAAAATGGATGCTACTTTGGTAAACCGTTCTACTTGACTTCAATGTCGACAGCAAAGTTTTGGCGAACTTATTTTGGGCCAGTATGTAAAACTTTGTTGCAGCAGCTCAAGGATTACTATTAGTTGCTGCTATTTTTGATTATGCTTGAAAGTACCCCTATTATAGTGAGTAATGATGAGGTAAAATGTTCATAATGGTACCACTATCTTTATCTGGCAATAGCTATACCTTTCTGTTACCAGTTATTCATCTTAGTTAGAATAATGTTGTGAGATTTTATTAACCAGGTATAATGTGGTTTAGTTTTTGCCATCTAAATATCTGATGGGATTTTACCAAAAACTTTACATTCAAAGAAAAGTGGTTTAACTTTCCATTGGATTTTTTTTTGGGAGAGGCTCTAGGGATTGGTAGAATCTATGTAGTATATAGTTGTACAAAATTGTCAATTTATTGTAGTACATATCTTCTATTGGACTTGCAATTTCAACAGCTTGAACCTAGTTTTTACATGCTACATATCTTCTCTCTTCTGTTTCAAGTGGAAAAAAAATTTGGAGTGGGTTAAGAGTTTTAACGCGAGTATTTTGGTGTATATGGTTGTTATATCTATCATGGGCTCATGATTTGATATATGCTTATGTGACCACATATTCGGCATGAATTTTGTTCTTATAGACCAAATCTTAAACAAATACACTTTTTTTGTATTTGTTCATCAAATTTTGATGAAGTACAAAAATCGGATGTAATTGCATCTAATAACTATAATTAATTAATTATACTTCCCCCAAGTTTGGAATAGTACAAGTGTGTGTTTAGTTTTGGACTTGAGGCAAAAGGGTTGTTACTTGTCCCGAATTTTCATGGCTTAAATCCAAGGTTTGTAAAATTCGGATCCTACATAGGATCGATTTTAGTTTCATAGAATCGAATCGTAGGATCGCAAAATCCCACCAAAAGCTCCTAAATTTACCAAATTAATGAATTTGAGATTCATATACCATTTTGTACATCCTCAAAGATATCAAATAAATAAATTATTCATAAATATATAACGTTTTTTATTTATTGTCTGACAAGTAATAAAGAAGAGAACATAACAGTTATTTGTCACAATTTCTAGTCTTAAAACCAAATGCTTTACAGTTTACACAATCATAATTTCAAATATAAAATAATTATCAACCTCCACAAATACTAAAAAGCCAAACATCCAAATCCAAGATTTTCAAGATCAAAATTAACTACTAAAATGTCATCTGTCAACATTTAAACTATTCTAAGCAGTGGGATAAGAAGCCTGGCTGGCGATCCACAAAGGCTACAATATCAAAAATAAGAACAACATAATAAAAAAATGTCTACTTATAAATTGAAACAAGAGAATTTTTAACAAGTAGGAAACAAAATAATAATCTATGTGAGTTGAAGCACTCTGTATTTGGTAACTGCAAATTTCACTTGATGATATTTAGACAAATCAACGTTATAAAGAGGTAGACAAATCAAAATCATGTTGTTGAAACTGAAAAGATCCAATCGGACAATTGAAAAGATGCAAAAACAAAAACAAAAAAAAAAGAAGAAAGAAAATGGTGTCAAATTAGGACATTCAAAGTCAGAATAGTAAGTACAAACCTGTGTAAAATCTGAATCAAATTCTTCCCATTGTTCAAATGTTGGTATTTGGTATTTGGTAGAAGCTATGACGCCTCCACATCTCCCTAAGGCGAACCAAAGGGTATTCGCGGGACACCTGCCCAACTCTCGCCAGGACTCAAGCAATTCCATTCAACTTAAAACCAAACCGAACATATCGAAGAGAGCAACATGAATACAAATAATGCGGAAGCGTTCAAACTTAACAAGTCACTTAACGTGTAACCAGTACATCGGGTAATCATAATACGACTTAAATTCTAAATACACGCCAGGGCCCAAATTTTTTTACATTTCAATTCCAAAAGTACAACCCAAACCAGGGCATAGCCAAAATATAGCAGAAATTCTAAACAAAAGAACAACGAAGGGTTTCTCCATACTTCTCCGAAATTCGGTCCTGTTAAGGAAAACAAAACTATAGGGTGAGCTAAACGTTCGTGAGGCCAAGAACACACATGCAAGCACATTGTTCAAATAGCAATCCCAAATTTATTAAATAAAACCGTGATATTTCAATAATCAACCATTCGAGCAGGAATAGTAATCAGAAATAATTTAAGGATATAGTAGCTCTCAGGAGCTAAGTTCCACTCGCTCTGCCGATGCCATTCGTATACCTTCCCGCGATGACCCTCCGTCAACCGGGTCGGTATTTCCATTTCCGTAGATCACCACTTACTTCCCTCCGTCCACCGTACACCTCCAGGGCCCACAAGTCATTTATAAGGCGATACTCCACGAGTATGCCAAGCAAGACCTCTCATTAGGTCGAGCTTATATATCTCATAGCTCACCCAGGTTCCCGACCAAGCCCATTGTCGGCTCGAGTCCAAGGTCGGCCTATGAGTTTGGGCGTCCCCCATTCATTTGAAAGTCGAGGAGATTCACTCCAACGACGTATGTAGTTATAACATACCATTGCATTTCATTCATTCATTCAATACATTTCATTCACTCATTTGAAATTAGAACGAGTGTGATAAAGTACACACCCGCCCTTATTTTTAAAATCTCCAACAATTACCATAAATAAGCAGGTATCAAGGATTCACACACTTGACACTCACCGAGCAATTCAATAAGAATTATTTCTGGAGGTTTAAGTGTCCACTGTAAGATCCTCTTGAAGGTCTTCGTGTGCACCTGGGCAGATAATAGTGGATAATCACTCAAATATCCCAATTATCAAGGAAGATTGTACACTAGTACAATCTAAAGAATACTTCACGAAAATGAACCTCAATTACTCGTAAATCGAGATTCAACTTGCGTTTTATTAAGTACAATATTAATTAAGTTTTTATCATGAAAATCGAGGGCAAAACGTTTGAATAATCTAAGAGAATTAAGAATTTTTAGAAAAACTCCTTTGCCTTAAAAAAATTTCAGTTTTATTGTGAATCTTTGAAAATTCGTATCTCTCTCGATATAAGTCCAAAATTAGAAAAATTTATACCGTTGGAAACCTTTTGGAAAGTGTTAAAAGTTCTTAGAAGACACTTTTCCATGAATCTAAGTGAAAAGTACTCAAAAATGAGCTTGAAATCACTGTTCCAGAATGTTCAGGATTGAGTTGGGGTTGGTTTTTCGCTAACTTTGGAAATTTGGCAGAATTCACTCGTTGCAAACTAGCCCATGAAATTTATAACTCAATTGGAGGTGCAAGTAAGGTTTAGGTCAGAACAAGCGGATTGAGAATTGGAGTTTCGAGCACCGAAATACGGTAGCTCGAAGTTGGGAAAATTCAAGTCTGGTGAACAATTTCCAGATTTGAGTTTCCAACATTGGAACCTTAGCTAAGAGTCAAAACGAAATTGGATTGGTATAAATTTTTGCAGTATTTTACTCCTATATGAAAGGTATCTCTCTATCAAATTTCAGGGAGAAATACCCTCAGGAAGGTAGTTAATTAATCATCCAAAGTTCCGGAAAATTTCTAAGGCAATCTGCCTTTTGACTTTCATTTCCCAATTCAAATCGTTTAATCAAGAAAGTTATCCAACCATGGTTCATTTGTGAAATAAAGGTCTAAGAAACATCCATGATACCTTTGGTAAGTGTTTAGCATCAAGAACTTCAATTAATAAGATGACTCCCAGGTTTTGTCCCAAACCAGTCCAAGTATTACGGTTTTTCCAAAACAGGGCAGTCCTCTTGTTTTGGTCACAACTCAGTCAATTTAACTCGGAATGGGGCATGGTTTATGTCGTTGAAAAATACATTCATAGGGCTATAATATCACAGAAGAAATCATTTCAAAATTTAGCACCCAACTAGTTCAAAATCGGGCATCAATTTGCTGCCTTATCACTTCATTCCAGTTGAACAGAGCAACAGGACAGCGATCTTAAAACATTTGGTTCGGCTCACTCACAAAGAATCCGAATGTGCATTTTATCTCAAATTAAAGCCTGGAATGTCTAGTTTCCAACGCCACCAACAGCACGTGATTTTGACATCCGAGGACGGAGTTATGGCCGAAACACCACCGCTGGTCAGAGCCATACGTGAACAGTTTCCAGATTTGCTAGTTTCACAAAAAAAATTCATTTGCCCAACCAAACCTCAATATTTTTCAATGAAATTTTTCACACATCTAATACGTCATATAAACATCAGATTCAAGCCATTAGATCATTTAAAATTGGCCTTAAAATGGCCGAACAAGGCAGGGGTAAAATCGGAAATTTTTGCTTCTTGCACCCAATGAAATTTCTATCAATTACACACCATTAATCCATCATTTTAACCACTAAACCAATAATATATCCACCATCAATCATCAAATCAGCAACAACCCAAGAGTGGGAGTTCATAGAGCCCACTTTCACATTTTCTAACAATATCAAGTCATCTACTTACATGCAAGTACTTAAAGATGCATATCTACTACTATAAATCAAGTTTAAGGTGATGGATCGTGTTATACCTTCTTAATGTACTGGATCAGAATTTTTGGCCCTTGAAATGCTCCAAGAAACCGTGATATCCAGCACCCTTTTTGCAGCTCAAAATGATCTCCTAGTGTTAAGCTAAGTATGGTGCAAGTTTGGTTGAATTTGGAGATGTTTTGGTGGTGGTTTGAGTAGGATTTGTGAAGTAAAATGAAGAACAATGGAGCTTAAGAGAGAGAGAGAGAGCTGGTCGGCAGTCTTGAGAAGGAAGAGAGAGAGAGTGATCAGATTTTTAAGCTTCCAAGAGAAGATACTAACTTGTGGCCACAAATCACCCATTAGTCAACTCACATTAGGGGGCGTTTGGCGCAATTAGGGATCGATTTCTCACGCGTTTGGTTCACTAGTGCACTAAACCTCTAGTGCACTTATATTCATGTAAATATTATTCACTCTTAATTATCCCGAAATAAGGGTCTAAAGTCCCTCAAATAAATTCGCGCGTGTGAAAACGCGTACCGTCAATTTTAACGTTATAACGCGAAACCTCCGAGAATTTCTTATAACGATTGTATTACTAACTATCACTTGAGTATTTATTCATAAGATTACCTATTTTAGGACCATAGTACAACTCTCCAATATTCCAAACTTATTGCACTCTCCAGCGGATAAAATCTCCAAGCACTATTCATTATTTTTACTAAACGCGCTCCAGGAAATTAATTTTTGAAACGAGCCACTTTAAAAATATAACGAAGTTATATTACCATGTATTTAGGTCTAATAAGACTAGAAAATATTCCTCGTGGTAAAAATCCAATTAAATAATTTATTAAGCCATAAGTTAGGCTTAAAAATAATAGTTTTTACGAGTCCTCACAGAAGCCGCATCGATATCGTCTTGTTGGTTGGAGCTGCAGTGGTGGAGAAAAAGTGAAAATTGAAAAGTGAAAGCTGAAGTGAAGAATGAAGAAACGAGTCAATGAACAGAGGACTGAGGACTGAGTAGAGGAGAAGAATAGGAGTTTTTTTTATTTTTTGAGGCAAAAATTGCAATTAAAGACTGCAATTCTTTGATAAATTACAAACCTACCATAAATATTTTCATTTACTTGCAAAATAGAGTCTCGTATTTCATAAATTTGCAAAAAATTGTAGGATCGAGGTGGGATCGTACGATCCTACTGATCCTACTACTATCCTACGTAGATTAATACAATTTGCGACTCTGAATACGATCCGGATCGATTTTGGTTATCCGGATCAACACTGCTTACAGCCCAAATCAAGTTGCGAGATTGATCTTGGATCCATGTTTTGGTTAATTGGACTAAAGTCCTTGGAACTTGTGGAGGAGTTGAACTTTGGCCCTTGCAACATTTCAATTGGCATTTAAACCACTATTTCACGTTCATTGACCAAAATACCCACGTAACTTAAATTTTAGAGTCAGTTCATTTTCCTTTCTTCCCTTTCCATTTTATACATTTTTATTCCACTAAACTCGTCGATCATAAGTACAGCAAACAAGACTTAGCCTCCTTTTATTGTTTTTTGGGTATCACTCTACCAAAAATAAATAAATAAAAGGAAGCAAAGCTTGTATGTCATATCTCTCTACATTTTCTTCAATTATCACAATGTTTGGCTCTAAATTATATGTCCATATATAGGTTGGAAATTTGGAATAGCATTAAACAATTTCAGTGTTTATGTGAGTGAAGGAGATCATAAAGATAGAGGAAAAGGGAATGTAATATGTTAGTGTTAAAGATAAATAAACATTCAATCCATTCGACACATCTTTTATATATATAAACATTCATATTGAAATAAAGCACTACAAGTGGATGACAAAAGGAAGAAGTAATGAAAATAACAAAGACAAATAAAAAAAAGAAAAAAAAATTAAGAATGAATGTTGGATATAAACAATGCCCTTCTTGTCGAAGAACTTTAAATGTAGGGCTAAATGCCTATTTGACAACTGAAAAGTTAAAAGGCAAAGTAGTGCCTAGTTTGGAAACGGCAACCAAACCAAAATTAAAATTGATATTAGCATTTTCAAATTAGTTTTTGGATTGGAATGTGAGAGACAAAAATAGTAGTGCAAATATCACTTCTCAAAAGTTAAAAAAAGGGGGTTGGGGATTTCCACCTCATATTTAGAGATGTTAAATGGACTAACTACTCGTAAGCTTGACTTTATTAGATTCGTATAAGTTCAAGGCAGCTTGTTCGTTTAACTAAATGAGATGAGTTCAAACATCAAATTAAGTTCGTTGTCTAAGTGAGCTGAGTTGAGCTCGCAAATAGTTCGTTTAAATTCATTTAGCCTTGTTTATACATTTATTTAGGCTAGTATACCCAATTTTTCTTAGTAACTATATAAATTTAGCCTACCTTGATGGCTTAGGATTTTGTTTTGTTTAAAAAATTAAGAACCTTTTTTAATTTTCTCATTCGGTAGGTTAATTAAATTGATTAAAATTTTTAAGTCATAAAATTGTATAAAATATTCAAGTACAAATAGATTAATTAAATTAATTAAAATTAATTGTATAAGTTATTCAAGTACATTTGAATTTCTTTTTTTGAGCTCGACTCGACTTATTTAGACTTGGGCAAAAAACTCCAGCGGCCATTAAACTATTGTCATGATCATGTTTTGGCCATCGAACTATTTTTCGTCAATAATTGACCACTGAACAACTTAATCAGTAAATTCGTGGCCATTTCGTTGATAATGACTCTTAATTTCTAAAATTAACAGAGAACACGTGGCAAAGGACCGGACAATTTTGTTGCCTTGTCAATCTTAATCACTTTATCGTCGCCACCCTGATTTTCCATCAGCAAAAAACACTCTAACACTAAAACAGAAGCCTCCCTCGCCGGAATCATGGGGGAATCCTTAGTATAAGCTTTACTCCCTTGCAAAAAAAAAATCTCCCAGAGCATTCCAGAACGAATTTTGCCGGATTAGGCGAGAGTTCCAATGCTTTTGGAACTTCTTCTCGGAGTTTATCCGATTCTCCAATATTAGTTACTATGTATTTCCGAAGCCCTCTGCTAGACATTAATGTATAAAGGCTTTCCAGCTCTGATTGACATGATTTCCCTTTTCCTTTTTCTTTTTCTTTTACTGGAGAAGGGTTTGATGGCGGTCGGGTGGAGGTGGGCGGAGGGAGAGGAATAATGGGTAAAATTTCACGGTGTGGGGAGGAAAGATTAGATTTTTGGAGGGATAATTGGGAATCAAGAGTGGAATTAATGGAATCGAGGTGAGCTTGGAGGTTGTAATAGCAACTGTTGAAGGCTTCAAGGGCGGCGGACAGGTCGCGGAGGTAGGTGATTGAATTGAGAAAAGATGGGACTAACGGAGGAGATGACGGGGTTTGTGATGGTCGAGATGGGAGGGAAGTGATGGTGGTGGGTTGTGGCTCTTGGTTGATAGGGGTGGCAGTTTCTGGTTGCGGAGGTGGTGGATTGGGATCGTGTTCAGCCTTGATAGACGGAAGAATAGGTGCCGTTACAACCGGCTGCGCCATGGGAACGATGGTTGATGGCCATTTGCGGGAGTACAAGGATTTGACTAAATAAGTTGAGCATCTAAAAAAGAGCCAATCAGTGGGATTATACATCCCTGTCGTCTCTATCTACTCAGGGGTCCTCTTAATCCACTTGGGAGTCTGAGCAGAGCAGCCCTGGTTGCGCCTCAACTGGCTCAAGTACTGGGCTTTGGCTTTGATAATCTGGCGGGCATTGTCGTCGGAAAGCTGATTCTTGGGGTTCTTGAACTTGGGTTTCGGCTTATTGACTGAGCAGCGGTAGCAGAAAGTGGTGGCATTTGATCTGTAAATTGTTGGACAAAATTGTCCCTGTCCTTGACCACGTGTCCTGCTAATTTTAGAAATTAAGAGTCATTATCAACGAGATGGCCACGAATTTACTGATTAAGTTATTAAGTGGTCAATTATTGACGAAAAATAGTTCGATGGCCAAAACATGATCTGACAATAGTTTAATGGCCGCTGGAGTTTTTTGCCCTTTAGACTTTGTATACATTTCAAGCATCTGAAACTCAATTGGTTGAATATGTAGACTGTACTTCTCAATTCGTCCAAAGATTCAAAACCCAATCTCAGTAATGTTTGCTCTGCACAGCAATAATCTCAAACTCAAATCAAAAGCAAAAGCCGACTATCAAGCTTCAACAAAATCAGCTGTCAACAATAGAGATGGAAGAATCTTCTGCTTCTGCTCCTAATTCAAACCAATTACAGGAGAAGCAGCCAGTCCAAGAAATCCCAACCATCAATTTCATCCCTGATGAAGTCCTTGAAGACATCCTCACGAGGCTTCCAGTCAAGTCCGTCCTGAGGTTCAGGTGCGTTTCGAAATCCTGGTTTGCCTTAATCTCTAGCCAGCAGTTCATCATAGCCCATCTTGACAAATCATCAAAGAACGAAGATTACAATCATCATAAGCTTTAACTGAGTGCTGATAATGCCTTCAAGAATTGCTCTTTTAGTGCTGCATTGAGTTCAGCCATCACTGCCACTGCCGAGGCAACTCCAACCAATATCGATCATCCCATGAGATTCGATCGCGGTAGTATGCCTTATATTGTGGGCTCTTGTAATGGTTTGGTGTGTCTTAAAATTCCTAGAAAGCAACTGTATTTATGGAACCCAGCAACTAGAAAATTGAAACAGTTGCCTAAGTTTTGTAAAAAGTTGTACATTTGTTTAGTTGTTATGGTTTTGGATATGATGAGTCTAATGATGATTACAAAATAGTTGCCATTTCCCTTGTGAAAGTTTCTGATGCTATGGGTGAAAAAATCCGGGTTGAGGTTTATAGTCTCAAAACTGATTCGTGGAGGAGGATTGAGGTAACATTAAGGTGAATGGTATTGACGCATGTGGTAATTTTGTGAATGGAAAGCTCTATTGGGTCTGGAATCGCATTCCTAGCTGTCATGATGGGCGGAAAATTCTTACTTTTGATTTGTCGAGTGAGACATTTGGAGAGATGGAAAAGCCAGCACACAGAGTGGCTTCTGCAGAGTGGACTTTACAAGTTTTAGGGGGGCACCTATGTTCGTCTTGTTATCATGGAGGCAGTTGCAAGGATGTTTGGAGGATGGAGAAGTATGGTGTTAAAGAGTCTTGGACTAAAGTGCTGTCGATTCCTAATCTGAGTGGCCCTAATGGTGGGATTTCCGGGCAAGCTATTTTTCTATCAAAGGAAGGAGAAATTGTGTGTAAATTTCGGGAAGTTTTAGCCCTTTACGATCCAAAACATAATACTCACATGCATCTGCGAATTACTAATTTGGGAGCTCTTTCACAAGTAAATGTGTATGTTGAGAGCTTGGTTTTGCCTAATGCTGTTGAAGGGGTACCAGTGCACTGGGCTTGAAACTGTTAAAAAAGGTGCTGATGATTATCTGTTGAACATTACTTGATAGTGGTGATTGATTTTCTGTCTTCTATAATTACAGTCAGCGTTTAGATCTTTATGGTCTGATTTCCTGATTTATGATTTAAGATCCTATCTGCACATGTTGGTACATTGTCTTTCGGTGCTTAATCTGCAAAAAGTTTTGGTTAATATTCTTTTACTTTTGAATTGGAGAATTTTTACTGGCAAAATTATGCATATAGCTCCAGATTTCAGGTTGCCGGAAATTTTTGTTTTATTTTGTTCTGCACTTATTTCTTAGACTACACGAGGATAAGAGATTTCTTTTTAACTTCTAGCCATGTGTTTAATCTGTTACGGATCTGCTTTTGTCTGTGGAGTACTTGATTGTTGATCAAGTTATATGTGACATCTTCTATTTTTTTTTTCAAGGAAACTGCCAAGTGTATTACCTGAAATTTGGTGTTGTGCCTTAATTCTTAACTAAAAGGTATTTCATTATGTATTTATAGTGCATCATTGGACCTCTTGTAAGTTTATATTAATCTGAGTATTGTCAGCAAGAATACATTTGAAACATGACTTTGCTTGTCTTCCTCGTATATCTTGTTTGTGCATTTTATGGCATCATGCAGTTCCTCACTTGACTTGGGTTGCATTCCATGAAAACCCGGTTTATGTATTTTGTGGTACCATGCACCTCCTTGCTTAATTATCTGTTGTTTTCACCAATCTTTGCTTTCTGATTGCTTCAGAAAGCAAACAGGCTGGCTTTTGATTTGATGATGCACACAGAGATATATAGATGAAATAGTCTCAACCACTAAGACTACATTGTTCCTCATTTGAAAAATTCCCTGCCACCAGAATTACTTCGTTTCACTTGAATCTGTTCAGGTGAACGATTCGATCAGCTACACTGTTAGAATTGTCAGATCCTTCATGTGAAGTCTTTAACTATTATTTGCTTATATAGAATGCAAGAACATCATAAATCGATAGGCAATATTACCTTGTTGGAGTTAATGATCTCATCAATGTTTGCAGGCCCTAATTTGTTTTAGGCTATCCAAACAGGGGAAACAAATGGTAAAGAAAGATTAACTATTGCCAGACAGAAATGCTCCAGTCCTATCCAATCAGGGAAAACAAATGGTAGCTTCAAGTTGAACCACTTCAAAACTTCTTGTTTTATGACAGCCTCCATAAGTGCCTGTGTAGAACTGCTTAGCATGACATATCCTATTGGTCATCTCACACCAATTCAAGTGCGCCGGGCCTAATTTCAGCTACTCATTTAGTTGGCCCTGATGTCTAGACATGAAGAATTAGGCATCTGATTAGATATGAAAGAACTAAAAATATCCAATGTATGGAAACTGTATCTCTGTCAGCTCTAGTCTCCCTTTTCTTAATCTTTTTCATTTGAGTTGGCTTATTTGGATAACAACGTTGATCCCATACAGGCATGCATATGGAGACACTCTACATGTACCACATGAAAGTCATCAAAGGACTAGGTGATAATTGTAATAGTCAAGAAGAGTGTGTCTATTGGCTTACCCGCATAAACATATAATTCTGCAACCTTTTGAGTTTGGAAAGTATGGTAATTTGCTTGGTTCAAAGTGTACTTTGAGCGGACACAGTTAAATGAATGAGAGTATGCACCTTAGATTTGTATCGGAAAGCTCAGAATTGAGCAGATGGGAACAGAAGTAAGATAGATATCAATAGAATGCTCTGCATAAACATCTATGCCACTTTTTGAGTTTGGAAAATATGGTCCAGGAGTATATTCGGTTCAAAGTGTACTTTGAGTGGTCACAGTAAAATGAATGAGAGTATGCAGCTTAGATTTGTGCCGAAGAATGCAAAATCGAGTAGAGCAGGACAGAAGTAAGATATCAATACAATGTTGTATTATCTAAAGATTCCTTCAAACTCTCCTTTCATTTCGTTTTATCCATCCTTCAGCCAAAGGTTTCCCTTTAAAATCTCAAACGCCTGGGTAGGTTGCAACTAGCTCATCTACTTTGTTGTTCTTGTTGAGATTGTTCCATGGGAATACTTTCGTTAGGCACCAGATTCTCGCTTGATTGCTGCTGCTGGATATATGTATTTTTACTATCATCTTTGGTATAGATAAGTTGATCGCTCTCCATTTCTCGTATTGAGTCGATAAGCAACCATGTATGGTTTCTACTAGAGCGGAGATTGTAAGTTTTCTCTTGGTTTCTACTGGTAGAATGGTGATAAAAATGTTTTTTCTCCCACTAAGCTTGTAGCTGTTTTTTTTTTTTTTTTTTTTTTTTTTTTTTTTTACTTATGTTTTCAACTATTCAGGTAAGTTTTTTTTTTTTTTTTTTTTTTAACAACAAACATGAATATGATGTTATGAAGTGGTAAGAATATCTACATTAATGTTTGGATATAATGTAGATTAAATCCCTCAGACTTGTTACATATGCGTAGGTTCAAATGCTAGAATTACTCTTCCCATACATCTCATTGGCATCCTCAAATGCTGAGTGGAAGCAGGTTCATTTAAGGCAAAGGCACAAGGGCTCAGAGCGGATGCTTCTCAGGCTACCGCTCCATTCACTTCCCATTTCAGGCAAAAACTCGGTGTTCTGTTTTTGCACAAGACTGCAAAATTCCTTGTTTGTAGCAGCTACTGAAAATGTTTGTTCTGTTTAATTTTATTTTTGCATGTGATGGAGCTGTCTTCCTGTTATGAGATTTTTTTTTTTGGCCCAATTCGATACGATAGACCTACATTTATTCTATACGGGGAAACCTGAAGAGGTCCAAAAGAAAATCGAAAGGGATTGAACCACATACCGACTCAGACGAGTGCGCACTCATCTGGTAGCGCTTGAAATGGCCTGCCACATTTAGTGACAAATGGTGGGAGGCAGTATTCGAATCCTGATCTCCCATCCCACCAAGTCTTAAGGCTTCAGCGGTGGCCACTAAAGTTAGCTAAGTGGTTTACTGATATGCGATTGCAACAACTTTTTCGTTATAAGAGAACTTCTGCACCTTTACCTCGAAAAAGGAGAGAGAAAATTTTTTTTTTTTGCGTGTAATGCAACCGGCACGAGCTGTTAGCTGACTTGGCCAATATTCTCTTCATTCTTTATCTATTATTTAGTATAATTTGCCAAAAGAAGAAGTACAAGAAAGTTTGGATAAACATATGTTCTGTCTTCACTGATAGGGAGGACCCCAAAAAAAAAAAAAAAGAAACTGCTTTTTCTTTTTCTTTCCTACACTGTGTCTCGTTATTTTACTGCTCTTTTCTTGGATCCAAAACAGACCCTAAACTTTACGAGAGGGAAAGGGGAAGGCTTGCTCCTTGTTTGGCCAAAGTACCAAATTGAGTAGAATTGATTATGGGAATGAAAAACGTTTAGTTCCCTATAATTACAACACTGGAGTTGAGGGAAAGTGAAGGCTCGTTAAATGGTTGTTTGCTAGGATTATTTAAGTTCCATATACAAGAACAATCGAATCAAACAATAAATGCACCTGAATTTTTTTTTTTTTTTTGGTGTAAGAAATTTAAGTAAGCAATCGATTATTTCATCACAATCTTTGATCATGCTTGGCACTAACTATTTAATTGAGTTGAAATTAACCAAGTTGGGTAGAATACTCTGCTGGGAAAATGTAATCTAAGTTTGATATTTCTATCATCCCTCGAGTCTTATCCCAAAAAAGAAAAAAGTCTCATCACCAAGTCTACATTGTGAGAGAAGTAGGATAACAGAAAATTATCCTGCTAGGAGCAACTTTTATCATATGTCTGATGTTTCAAAATCATAAAAGATATCAAGAGGACAATCAACAAATGCATTTGTGATTTTGAAAAGCGTGATTTATCAAGTAGCTAAAATATCACGCCTTTACGTGAAGAGAAAATCTACGATATGAAGGCGCCAATTGCTACTCTGCACAGCTCACGCTTTCAGATCCCCAACGTTCGCGTCATATGCAAGCACAATGGTCAAAAACCCCTATCCTGTAAACATTTATCGACAAAATTTCTTGATATTTATTTTCGATCTTCCTTGAATCTCTAAAATATAGCCCCTCACTTTATCAAATGATTCAAAACCCAATTTCAAAATTTTTCTGAACAACAATAAATTTTGGAAAAGTGTTCAAAACGTCTTTCACATTTTATTAAGTGAATTTGTTTATCCTTCACTTTTAAAATAGTAACTTTATGTTTCTTACAAAATTAAATCGATAAATGAGATCACAACCTAATTTTTTGACTATTTTATGTTCAAAATTCATCACGTGATCCCATATGGTTATTTTTTTTAAATGCGAAAAGGTAAGATCCGATTTGTGATTAAACAAATGATCTCCGATCTATCTTCATTTTTGTTAATGAAAAAAATAATATCTATCCAAACTATATTCATTTTTTCCAAAACAGTGTAATTTCAACCAATTTATATCTATTTTTGCCACTAAAATGGTTAGATTTGACCTTTTTGTCCATAAAAAATTACTACATATGGATTACCTGATGACTTCGAGCTAAAAAGTAATTGAAAAATTAGGTTTGAACTAAAATTTATTAATTTATACTTGTAAGAAATGCACGATTAATATTTTAAAAGTGAAGGAAGAAAAAATATGTTTAGCTAAATGTGAGACCATTTTGAACCATTTTTAAATTAAATGTTTGAAAGTAAAATACTTATAAAGAGCCGGTATTTTAAATAGGTAATATGTATTTGCTTATAAACTATATTCCTTAAAGTTTATTAATTGTTAATTGATTTGTAATACTTTGTCATTCATTGGACATGTAGTACAAATGACAAATTTGGTAAAAAATTCTAATTTCACTCCCTAAAACAATATTTTAATCGTTTGAACTGAATTTGTAAAGGATTAGTAACCTCAGGAGAGGTTAGTGTAATTTTTCAAATCATAGGGGAAGTCAATGGAAATGTCAGAAACTTCAGGGGAGGTTTCTGCAATTATCCCTTTAAATAAAAAAGAGAAAAAAGTACAAAACCCAAGATCAGAAGCATTACCAATTAATTTATCAAGATCACCACCCACCTGGGAAGATGCAAGAACCTCCATCCTCTATTCCTTCCCCAGACCAAATGGAGGAGCAGCAGCCAGTAGAAGAAATGGGTACCATCAATATTACTATTCCTGATGAACTCATCTTTGAAATCCTCTCAACGCTTCCAGTGAAGTCCCTCTTGAGGTTCAGGTCCGTTTCAAAATCTTGGCTTTCCTTAATCTCTAGCTCGGAATTCATTAAAGCCCAGCTCGAGAAATCGTTAAATGAGGATGACTACAATCGCCATAAGCTCCTTTTCATTTCTGATAGAATTTTCAAGAATTGTTCTCTGAATCCTGCACTGAATGCATCCAAGACTCCCAGTAGTGAGCCAAGTGCAAATATTGTTGACAATCCCATGAGATTCAACCGTGGTAGTTTGCCTTATATTGTGGGTTCTTGTAATGGTTTGGTATGCATCAAAAGTCCTCGAAATCGACTGTATTTATGGAACCCTGCAACAAGAAAATCTAAAAGGTTGCCCAAGTTTGGTAGCAAAACTGTGCACAATAATTGGTGGGACTCTTTATTTTGTTATGGCTTTGGATATGATGAGTCTAATGATGATTACAAGGTAGTTGGGGTTTCGTTTGTGAATGTTTCTGATGTTTTGGGTACAGAAATCCGGGTTAAGGTGTATAGTCTAAAAGGTAATTCGTGGACGAGGATTCAGGAGGATTTTAAGGTGGGTGATATGAATGAATATGGTTGCTTTGCAAACGGAAAGATCCACTGGGTCTCGAATCGTATTCCTGGCTCTGATGACGTAAGGAAAATTATTAGTTTTGATTTGGCAAGCGAGGCATTTGGAGAGGTGGAAAAGCCAGAACAGTGGATGGGTTTTTCTTCTGATTGGAATTTACATGTTTTAGATGGACATCTGTCGTTGTCTTGTGATCAGGGAAGCAATCTGGTGGATGTTTGGGTGATGGAGAAGGATGGTGCTAATGAATCTTGGGCTAAAGTGCTTTCGATCCTTAATCTCAGTCAGCCGAGTGGTGAGATTTTATTGAAACCTGTTTTTCTATCCAAGGAAGGTGAAATTCTGTTTAAATATGGGCCAGTCATAGCGCTTTACAGTACAAAGGATAATGCTTACAACTATCCTCGGGTTACTAATTTGGGAGATCTTGCGCAAGTGGAGGTGTATGTTGAAAGCTTAGTTTCTCCAAATGCTGTTGATGGAGTATGAATGCACAGGGCTGGAATCCATTAAAAGGTGCTGATGATGATCTGTTGAATATTACTTGATAGTGGTGATTAATTTCGTTTCTTCTGCCATTATGTTTAAGTCTTTGTGATCTAATGTCCTGGTTCATCATTGAAAATCCTATCTGGATATGTTGGTTTTTTTTAAATTTTTCTGCTCACCTTGCACTAAATTTTGATTGATATCCTTTTAGTTTTCAAATGGAGAAGTATTAATGACAAAAATGCCTGTAACTCCAGAGTTCAGCTTGCTTTATGTTTTGATTTGTTCTTCACTTGTTTCTTAGACTGCATGAGCATAACAGGATTCCTTTAACTTCTAGCCGTGTGTTTAATCTGTTATCCTTGTGTATTAAGATTTATGTCCATGGAATACTTTATTAGTGGTAGCTAGATGTGGCTCCTATGTTCTGTAATTTTAGAAAAAGGAAAGCAGAGCTTAGACATTCATTGTGCTAAACTGCAGAGTTGAGATTACTTAAAATTTGGTGTTCTGCTTTCTTGCTAAATGAAAAGTATTTTCATTATGTGACTAAGCTGAGTCACTGGAACTCTTGTAAGTTACTATGACTCTGAAAATTGTCAACAAGTCTCAGGGAACAATTTGGAAATGTGAGTTTGGTTGTGTTACATTTATATCTGGTTCAGGCATTTTATGGCATCATGCAGTTCCGTGCTTAATTACTTTGTTGTTTTCAATGATCTTTGCTTGAGAAAGCAAACATACTGGGTTTTGATTTGAAGCACACTGGGAAAATAGATAGATGAAATAGTTGGGGCCACTTAGATCCCTAGTGTTGCTCATTAGGAGATCCCCTGCCACCAGAATTACTGCATTTCGATACCACATTAACTCTACCTCCTGCTTTGCTACTTTTACGTCATTGCAATCTATTTAGCCGGGTAATTTGATTTGTTATAGTGTTAGTTGTCATGTCCTGCATGCGAAGTGTACAACTTCATATATTGGTGGGTGACTTAAGTTAGATGGAAGGTTCTCTGACAGAAAACAATAAGTAATAGTGATCTCATCAATGGTTGGAGGTCCTGATTCATTGTAGGCTAGTGATGTTCAACTAAACTAAATGGTAAAGAAAGGGCATTTGTTGCCTGAGACAAATGCTCCACTCCTATCTAAACAGGGGAAAAATGAGGGCTGAGAAACTTCTTATTGTAAGACAGCCTCCATGTCATGAGACCGTACCTAAGTTCCTACATAGAACTGCTTAGCCTAATGTTTCCTTCTAGTCATCTCACGCGAATTCTAGTGCTACAGGGTCAAATTTCAGTTCCTGATTTAGTTTTTTTGCTTTCTTTCCTGACAGGAAGAATTATGCATCTGATCAGATTTGAAAAAAATTAGGAGCTCAACTGTTTCAAAATTCTATGT